TTTCACATCGGGCTCCGCGGCCCCCCCGCCCCCGCCGCACCAGGCAAGAGCCCCTCTGGTTGGAATCCCAGCTCCCACCACCTCAGTGACCATGTGCCCTTACTTGGCCTCCCTCAGCCTCATCTGCGAATTGGACGCTGTGTCCTCGGTGCTCAATGATATGATCCAGCACAAACACTGTCAGTGTGGCCGGCACCTGGGACGGGCAGTCAGTGCTCCCACTGTCAGTGGGCCTTCTGCATCTCTCACCCCCGCCCCACCCATGCCCAGCACAGAGCTGAGTGTTCAACAGGCCCCTGGAAATGGTGATGGGTGAAGCAAAGAACTAAACATAAACAGATCCTCAGAGTTTGGGGGTCTAACCCCCAGTCTCACAGGCTGGGGATGGACCGTAGAGGGGAGGAGGGACTGGCTGCTCAGGCACTGCCTTTCCCCCTTCCAGAGTTTTCCACCAGCCCATGAGGAGGAAGCGGAGGGTCCACACAGAGGCAGCGACAGGCCCGGGTCTCAGGAGGGCTCAGGTCTCACCGGGACCTGGGCTGGCCCTCGAGCTCAGGAGGCACTAGAATCCTGGGTGCGGAGCGGACAGCGGACAAAGTCAGGACAAGGTCTGGAAGGGGCCTGGGGCAGCAGGGGCTGCAGAAGTACCGCCTCCGCACACCTATCTCATCACTTCACTGTCCCCTCCTGTCTGGGGGAAAGGACACCCCTCCGACAGGTGACACTGAATCTCAGAACTAAGAAGCGCTCAGGCTCTCAGGCAAGAGGGCTGAAGACGGGTCTCGACCCGGGTCCATCTCGTCCCAGGAAGGCAGACCCGGAGCCAGGGGGCTGGGCCAGGCCAAGAGGATATGAGTCTGGAGGTCCCCAGGGTGGACCACAGTGGGCGTGAAGCTCTGGAACTGTACTGAGGTCTTGTTGCCGTAGAAGAGATACATGCGGCCTGCGGCGACGGGGAGAGGCGGGCCTCCGTCAGTCCCAACTCCACACCCGAGCCAGGTCTCCCCAAATCCCCATCCTCACAGCCCCCCCCCCCCCCCCACATACCCAAGTTCTGCCGGAACTCTGACTTGACTCCAATCTGCAGCAGCTGGTTCTCAAACAGGACCCCATTGTTCTTACACACGAACCTGGGGGAGCAGGGAGGGGGAGCCCAGGATGAGAGGGTGCTTGTCTGGGCTCTGCTTCGTGGTCCCCGCCTTCCTCACTTCCCTCCTGATCTCTCCCAGACTCACTTATTCAGCAGTTCATCAGCCTCTGGGATGGGCGACCCGAAGTCCTCAGGACCTGGGCTGCAGGGAGAGGAGTGAGATGGGAGGGGCTGGGGGAGGGAGGTGCTGATAGAGGCAAAGGCCTGGAACTACCTCATGGAAGGAGACAACAGGCCCTGAGAGGGCAGAACCCCGCAATCCATACACCCCGATTCCCCAGAGAACCACAAAGAACCCCAGAATCAGCCTGGTGATTGCCTCTCGTGGGAACAGGACTCTAGCATGTGCGGCTCCCCAACCCCCCCATCAGAGGACCCTATTTTCACTCCCTTCCAAGACCTTGACTCCACAGTTAGTTCAACAGGAAGCCTTGATGAGAGCTCCCAGTCCCCTAACCCTCCCTAGGGACACAGTCTGCCCACCAACCCCCTGAGGCCACCCCTTACTCAGCAGCTGGAGCTGGGTCAGCCAGCAAAGCCATGGGGCTCTCAGGAGCAGGCGGCTCCAGCTCGCTGGGCCATCCAATCCCAGAGCAGACAGAGAAGACAGGCGTGGCAGGCAGCCAATCCCAGACAGGCAGCAAAAGGGCCAAAGAGAAAGAAGGAGGAGGGAAGGAGAGAAGGAAGAGCAGGCTGAGACACGGTGACGGGAAAGGACAACAAAGGGTGGCCAGGGGCAGCCGAGAGCCCAGCGTGGCCAGAGGGAGGAAGTAGGCCGGAGAGGCGGCAGCCAGGTGGACAGAGGCACAGGGACAGGGAGGGAGGAACGAGTTGGGGGGGAGTAGACAGAAGACGGGGAGCCCAGAGCCCGAGGCAGAGGGTACCTGAGAAAGGCCTCCTCGGGGGTGGGCCCCAGGCCGGGCTGGGCGACTGGGCCATCGGAAGAGACGTCCACCAGGAGGTTGCCTGCACCCGCGGGAGCCTGGGGTGCCGCTGGGGGAGGGGCTGCCCGCAGCCCCAGGAGGTCGGCGGAGGGTGAGGGTGTCGACTGCAGGAAGTCAGTCATAGGTGAGAAGAGACGATTCCCCAGGTGGGCCCTCCCCATGGCCCAGTCCTGGGGGACTCACCACCGTGCTGGGGGTGGGCTCCACACCCCCGTTGATGTCATTGCTGCTTGCGTCCCTCCGGCCATCGTCCAGGGCGCTGGCGGCTCCCGGCCCCTTCTTGCGCTTGAGCTTGGCCAGGATGGACGACTCGCGCTCGGGGAAGGGCGGCATCTCCTCCAGCACCGTGGCCTGCGGTGTGGGGGGCGGGAGCAGGTCAGGAGGAGGGGGAGGGCGAGGCACAGAGGTGGAGGGGGGCAGGTGGGGACCGGGCCCTGACCAGGACGTCCGTGCTGGCCACCGAGCTGAGGGTGAGGTACTCGACCGCGCGCTGCTGCAGCTCCACGTCCGCGTTGCGCAGCTGGGAGCCGGCCCGCAGCACGCCCTGGATGGTGGCCTTGGTCTCCGGGAAGAGGTTGATGAACTTGATGTAGGTGGACAGCAGCAGGGCCCGCGTCGCCACGCTGCACAGGTGGAACTTGGAGTGCAGCAGTGAGAACTGCACTGGGGGGCTGCGTGGGGGGCAGGGGTCAGCGTGCCAGCTTCACCGTCTCCCACAAACCCCCCGTGAGGTGCCGCCTCCCTGGCAGGGACCCGTCCCAGGCGGCCCCGGGGCAGTGGCTGCGGCAACGCTCCCCTAGAAGCTCCTGAGAGCTGGGTTGTCCCTCACCCGCAAGGTTCGGGGCGAGGGGGGGCCGAGAAGATTCCCATCATCACTGGCCCTGAGACTCCTGGGGTCCCCCCACCCCGGACCCTTCAGAAGTGTGTATGTTCATCCCCTCACCTGGAGCGGGGGTCCCCGGCAATCAGGTTTCCGAACTCCCCAAGGATGTAGCCGCCGACCTTCACCATGTTCTCGTGACAGGCTGGGGCCTGGAGCGCCTGGAGGCCGGGACAGGCATGAGTGCTGACGCCCTGGCTCGGGTCACCCAGCTGTGCGGGCGGGGCTGACCTCGGGACCCTCCGACGTGTGTGGGATTATAGATGGAAACTGAGGCCAGAGGGGTGAAGTGACTGGCTCCAGCTCACACAGGCAGTGACACAGGGCAGAGGGAGTGGGCAACTGCTGCGGCCTGGGGATCGGCCACTGCACGCCGGGCTGACCGCACGTTGGCCAGTGAAGGCCGGGCCCCTGTGTCCCTTGGAGAAGCAGGGAGACCAGGGAGCAGCTCTGTCCTTTCTCTGCCTCGATGCCCCTGGATGGGGGTGCTGACCTCAAACACAGTCTTGGCAGCATAGCCCTGGACGTCATCACGGTTGGTGACAATCTGCAGCACGCGGTACCACACCTCCTCACTCACATAGTCGCCTGCGATGCGGATGAGGTTGAGAATGGTGTCCACGTACCAGCTGTAGTCCACTGCGTACTTCTCAGCCAGGATGGCCACCTTCAGGACCTGCCAGCCGGAGGGAGGACAGGCATGCGTGTGTGCACGAGCGTAGGGTGTGGACTCAACTGGATCTGGGCTCACAGCTGCCCCCATCTGGAGACCCAGGAGTCCAGGCCCCCAGCCCCTCCTCCCTCAGACCCAGGGGTCCAGGCCCCCAGCCCCTCCTCCCTCAGACCCAGGGGTCCAGGCCCCCAGCCCCTCCTCATTCAGACCCAGGGGTCCAGGCCCCCAGCCCTCCTAGGACTCACGATCTCTTCACGGATGGCGTAGTCAGCAGTCTCCAGGTACCGCAACATCTCCGACACGATCTGCTTGGCGTTGCTCCGGTCACACATGGCGTAGAGGAGGTCGGCCGCCCGCTGTCGCACACTGACGTCCCGCTCCGTCTGAGGGAAGAGAGCAGGGGGGGTGTTCTGGGCTCCGTGTGGCATAGGGCTGGCCGCCCAAGGGCCTCCGAGCCCCGTGCCCCTCTGAGGAGGCAGAAGAGACAAAGGCTGGGTGGGCGAGGAGAGCCTGGCCCAGGGTGGGCTCTGAGATCACACCTTGAGGGCGTTGATGACGGTGTCAATGTGGGTCTTGACCGCCTCGTGGGAGAACTCGGAGCTGGCCAGCGTGCACATGCTCTCCAGGGCCAGGTAGCGCAGGTTGGTCTCGCGGTGCTGCAGGAACTGGCCCAGCTGGTTGCAAGCCCGCACCAGGAGGTTGGGCTCACTGCCAGCAAGAGAGAGAGAGAGAGAGACATGGGACATGAGGAGGAGGCCTCGGGCGAGGCTGGTCCATCCGCACCATCCTCAGGACCCAGGTCATGGCCGACCCGGTGACCCGGCCCTCTAGGCTGCAGCCCAAATAAAGAGGCAGGAATTCTGCCTCCCGGGAGGGAGCCGCACCAACCCAGCAGGGTGCCATCCTCCTCCTTCTACCTCAAGGTCACAATTCCCGGACCCGCTCCCCTAGGACCCGGGATCCAGGCCCGCCCCCGCCCCGCCCGGTGGGCACCTGTCGTAGTGGATGATGAGGCTGATGGTCTCGAAGAGGATGGCGTTCTTGGCATTGGAGTGCTGGACCTTCTTGGACTTGGGCGGCTCCTGGGCCTTGTTGAGCACAGTCTCCAGACACTCGACCAGCCTGCCCTTCACGGCCGCGTCCTCTGAGGAAACGGAGGGCACGTCCCGGCTGAGCTCTTTGGCCCCGCTG